TTTTTTTTGTAAAACATATTTCAATAGTCTTTGTTTTATTTGCAACTTCTGAAAATCTATTTATACAGTGCATACAGCAAGACCTAAAATATCAAATAAAGCTTTGTGGTGACAAAAAGAGATACCAATGGACCAGTCTGTCAAAAATAAAATTCGCTGCATTACCTATAAATGTACCAGACGGGGAAAATATACTCATGTAAGCTGACAAATGTAGCTGAAGGAAGTGCTATAGGAGGAGAGTCTGGTGGAACAGTTGTTTCAGCACCAAACACACTGTGACAGCAAGTTTGGTCTCTTTCTGCATGACTCAATGGAGCTAATTTGTTTACCTCATATGACAGACGTTAAGCCATTGTTATGCAATCAATCTGTCAATACGCTGGTTTCTTTTTAATTAAAGGGACAGTTCACCCAAAAACTAAAATTCTGTCGTGGTTTATTCACCCTCACTGTGCTGAGCTAAAGATGATCACCGGTAAACTGAAGCGCTCTTTTAACTTAACCAAACGCATTCTATATGAGATAAATCAGATATACATCAAATAAACACAATATTACAATGTACAATTGCACAAAAGGCTGCAAACGAACAGCGCGCATCTGAAGTGTCTCTGAAGGAAATAATGCATTATTTATCGGCTTTAAGATATCGGCCAAAATTTCTTATCAGGCCGATACCGATAACAGAAAAAATGAGCCGATATGGGCCGATACCGATATGGTGGCCGATATATCGTGCATCCCTACTTCATTCCAAACCTGTGTGCTGTTTTTTTCTTCTTTTTCTTCTTCTGTGAAACACAAAAGAAGAATTTTTGAAGAATCTTCATGCAGCTATTTTCCATATGGCAGTCTATGATGATTTAAAAATAAATAAATAAACTTAAAATTCAGTTTGATACTGATAAGCCATTAATTCTTTTTAATAATTCAAGTTATGGTCGATAATCGATAAATAGCTGATATTTTAAATACAATACTATGTTGTCTAAAAATATAAATTACATAATATAAATAAACCCTATAAACAAAACATTAAACAAACAAAGGATGCACTAATATTTACAGTTTTTGTTCTGACCAATAATTGATACATGGCTGATACAAAAATTCAATACTATTTTGTTCTAAATAAATCCCTTACAAACTCCCTTTTATGTTATGAACAATAATCGATAAATGGCTGACATTAAAATTCAATACTAATTTGTCAAAAAGTATATTACATACTAAAAGCAAAACATATCGATAAAACATGATATAAATGAATTAATAGGCTAGTTAAATGTAACAAATGAAGTCGGTGTTAGATGATCTAAATGTAAAACTAGTCAGAAAGAAGGACATGCACCATTAAATATCCAAATATTGACTAATATATAGCCAATATGGGCTGAAACAACATAAAAAATAAAAATAATATAAAAAAGTAATATTTGGCTGTTGATATCTCTGTTTTTTTTCTTTATTTTATTTTATTTTATCATGCATATATTGGTAATACATCCCTAAAACATTCCCTTATCTCTTAAAGTACTTAAAATACTAATAATAGGTCATTGAAAATGTATTGCACAATATATATGAAATAATTAAAATATTTAATTTAGCAGTGTAGTAAAGGAGAAGTATTTGGTTGAACTGTTATTTCAAAATCAGCCAGAAATAAATAAAACTGAGCTCGCTTGGCTATTATAACAAAAGCTTCAAGTAACTAGAAGTGGAAACTGTTTCCTTCATGATTTATTTTTATTTTTTTTGCAAATAACCAATCTTTTTGCGAGTTTGTAAAGACGTGGTCACTACTTTGTATAGGAAAAGAGCTGCAAAATCTCTCCTTTCCTTTTCCACAGACAAAAGAAAGTCACATGGGTTTGGAACAACATATAATGACTGAATTCTGTGCCTTAAATTCAGTTAAATTCAGGCCCAGTCGTATCAGTTTTGACAGTCACATTTCAGCCCAAGGGCCAAGTTTGCTGATGCCAGCGTACTTGTAAGTGGTCAATATCTTCTCCGATCTTTTTTTAAACACAGAAACCATGTATGATCAGCTCTGCCGCCACGCGCCCGAGAGCCTTGTGACGCACCACGCGCTGCAAACTCACCCGAAACAAACAAACGGCAGACACAAGTGAGAATTTGCATGAATCACATGCATGTCACGCTGACAAACTTAGCACCCTCACGCAGCGCCAAGTGAGCCTGCGCTCTTATCTTTAATGCTGGATTCCTCACAGACGCCTGCAGTGTTTTTAGGGGGTTGGGGAAGCGCGTTGTTTTGTGGGGATAAAAATAGTGTTGTAGATCAGAATGTGGAGGAGAAAAGGGCCTCGTGCAGATTAAACCGCAGTTAATCGCCCGTCTGTGACGCCGAATGCCATTGTGTGTTAGGTGAACTTCAAGGAGGAGGTCTGAAGATCTTCCAAGCAAAGCCGCTCTTGGTTTTGGCTTTGTTTTGGAAGGATGTTTGCACTTCATCCTCTTTTTTCCTTCTTAAGTCATTCATCAGGTTTTTTTGGCCTCCTCATTTCCTCAGCCAGAGAGGCAATTTGTTTTCCTATAATCTCGCTTTGAGGGAATATCAGTTTGAGTTGACAAGGGACTTAATCAAAGAACCAAAACTATTGTGCTTTGGTGCAGATTTATCCACACTTTAATGGCAACAATTACATCACCACGTCTTATTTTGTAATAGACATTTCATAGGAACCGAATAAATGCAAAACGTCAGTTTCTTTGCAACTTCGAAGGACTTATTGTGAAGGACATCTCAGAGTAATGTTCTTCAATAGGCGATAAGGACAAGCTACGAACACGTCTCTGTACACCCTATTAATATCCAAAGTTAACTTCAAAGCTAGTTTGTACAGCGAGGCAAAAGAACAGCAACAAAGATCTCTATTCAGTGATTCGGAGAAGAAGAATTAGCTGCTCACATGCCAAACAGTTTAGCAGAGAAAATGCCATGAGCACAATGAGGTTTTTATTCTACATTACAAGTTCAGCTGGAGCAGTCAAGCTTTTACTTCATTTCTAGGTGATGGAGAATCATTTGAATAGCTGATCGACTCTATTATTCCACAAATGCCTTAATAATATTTGCAAATACATTATATAATGCAGTAACAGTTATGCATAACTACACTCTAAAAAATGCTGGGTTGTTTTAACCCAATGTTGGGTCAAATATGGACTAACCCAACTGTTGGGTTACATTTTGGTTACATTTTTAAATTAGCTTTTTAACCCAACAGTTGGGTTAGTCCATATTTGGCCCAACATTGGGTTGAAACAACCCAGCATTTTTTAGAGTGTATATGCTTAACATATCAGTAGATCCTCCTTTTACATTCAAATATTATATATATATATATATATATATACACTGTAAATTTAATTTTTGAAGTTGTAAGTTAAACAAACTACATTGTTGTATACAATAATGTATTACAATTTTTTTTCTACTTCAAAATTTCATGTTTAATTATACGTATTTCTTTGTAGTTATTTGTGAAATTTAATAAGTGAAAGTAAATCAAACACCAATTTTTCTCAGAGTAGTACCATTTTATATGATATCATGTCAAATTTATAAAAAATATGAATATATAACATTTTTAATAAATTGTTTTTTAAACAATATATAGATATATGGATAGATCGATAGACAAATAAACAGATAGATAGACAGACAGACAGACAGACAGACAGACAGACAAATAAACAGATAGATAGACAGACAGACAAATAAATAGATAGATAGATAGATAGATAGATAGATAGATAGATAGATAGATAGATAGATAGATAGATAGATAAATAGATAGATAGACAGACAAATAAACATAGATAGACTGACAGACAGACAGACAGACAGACAAATAAACAGATAGATAGATAGACAGATAGACAGACAGACAGATAGTTAACAGATAGTTATTCAAAAAATATTTGACAGAAATTGACAGAAGAATAAAAACTTAACAGAATAATAATAATAATAATAATAATAATAACGTTAAATTAGAGGGTGATGGAGTGAAGAAAGGTTTGATTATGGAGGAAAATTGTTCCAAACAGCCAATGCACTCTCCTGGATGAGTTCAATTACAAAGATGCTCAGTCATTCAGTCACTGACCCGAGCAAATTAGTATTTGCACTAATTGCAGGGGTTCGGCTCCCGGTCAACCTAATCAATTAGAGAGCATCCGAAATCAAATCACATGTCCAGAAGGAGTGATCACCCAGACCTCTGGCATCTATCTATGAACTTAAGTCCAGACCCAAACACATGTCATCCAAACCCCACACGTTTATAAAGGCTTCAGCTGGACCAACAAAGATTGATGTAGACGCTTTAATTACAAATAACTTTTTTTCGGTTCTGTATTAAACCTTTAAAGAAACTAGAAACCAATATGTTGATATGCATAAACAACTTATAGGCTACAAACAGCCTTATACAACCAAAACGTTGCGTCATAACCTTACAGTGCTGCAAAGAACCAATAAACAATCTTCAGCTTGAGTGAGATTTGAATCCTAAATCACTAGGGTTGGGTTGGTTCAGCTCTTACTTTGCATTGGCTTAATCAGATTAACTAGTCTAGCAATCTAAATGTACAAATCAATTTGGTCGCGTAATCTCTACGGACGGTAAATGTTGCGCGTTATGCTAATTTAAACAATAGGTTCAAACAGCTGCGAGGTAAACTGCTCCATAAAACGTTCATTAAGCTGTAAACTTCGCCATTCCGATTCATACTAGTTGTTTAAGTTGTATTAGTGGTGCTGAAACGGACCCGTACACAACGCGCGGAGCTGTTTTTTGCCATAACAGCAGCAGCAGCAGCAGCAGCGCTTTAATACGCGATTCTGGACCATCTCTCACTTCTGACCGGAGCAGATTAACTGCGGATGCGATTACCAAAAGCTATACAAATACGATATGCATACAGAAAACAAGATAGCTGGCATAATAATGCCGTCTTACCTGGTAATAATGAAGTTGAATGCGCTGATAACACGATGCGAATTTAGATGATAGCCTACACTATATATTCCTCGCTGATGTCCACATTGTCAGTGTCAGGCGCTTACTGTAAGAGAGAAAACCCCGATGTCAGAGAGAGAGAGAGAGAGAGAGAGAGAGAGAGAGAGAGAGAGAGATGCGAATTTAGATGATAGCCTACACTATATATTCCTCGCTGATGTCCACATTGTCAGTGTCAGGCGCTTACTGTAAGAGAGAAAACCCCGATGTCAGAGAGAGAGAGAGAGAGAGAGAGAGAGAGAGAGAGAGAGAGAGAGAGAGAGAGAGAGAGGGAGGGGTGGCCAAATGAGATAGGACCATCCTATCCAATTACAAAAGACGAGGGTTAAAAAGAACAACAATGCACAGCCATATGCCGAGGACAAAACGCCCTAGTGTCTTCTTTTGAGCCTCTGTCTTTTCTCGGTTATTTCATAAGAAATGTGTCGGATATTTTCTTTCAAACATAACGCCATAATATTTGTGGTGCAGTTATGCTGACGGGGAATGGCAGGGAGAAAGATTCGATTCGACAGCGCTTGGATGAAGTAGAAAAAGAATCGACTCCGTGCGAAGATTCGATTTGATTCGACGCGGTTGGCAAAAAAAATCGCTTTGACAGCGATTCGCTGAAAACAAAACACTCGCTTACGTTCCAATGTTGCATTCGATAGTACGTGACTGAAGGAAATAAAAGACTCGATTTTGTACTTAGATTCGATTGACTACGGAAAAATAAATAGTTAAATAATGCTGCACGAACCTTTGATTTGACAGTCATTGACACAATTCAAGATATAAACCAAGAAAGAACAGCAAACACAGGCACATGTGTTTATTCTTGTTATGATTATGTATTTAGCAGTTTGTAGGCCAGACATTAACACTTCAGTAACGTAAGATGACTCATTAACGAACCTATAATAAGTGGTTCATTATTATTCATATAAAAATGTACATGAAAATGAAGCTTCAGAACATGTGCCTATTTGAATGTATATTAAGCACTGTTTTATAATGTAATTACACGTAATATAATTAACTTAGGTTAATAGTTAGATAAGAGTCTCATCACATTTTGTGGTCAAGTTGATCAACTTTACAGCTCATTTGCTTGCAGAATAGCCCTGATTTTATAGACAGTATAAAATCCCAGTTGCACAGTGAAATCCATTTGGCAATGCGGACGGACTCATCAAATAGTCTTCAGGTGCTTACAATCCAGACCGAAGACTTTCTGCATTATGCATTATATTGATCAACAATAAATAGATGAATGAATAAATACATGGTAAACAGGGCAAAACTGACATGTCCTGAGAAACACTGCCACCTTGTGGCAATACAACGTCTGTATATTAACACATAATCAACACTGAAATGTATTATTATTACCATGAACTGCACAAGACGAACTATATTCAAATTGATTTCCAACGTATTTAATTAAACTGAAAACTTTAATCTTTGGTGTAATGCAAATAGCCTACATTCACCTAGTCAAATAAATATTTACTGTAGTTAAACCTCTGAGACTTTTTGTCTTCAATTTAGAATTTTATATGCAATGCACATTTTCAAACATATATTCGTGTCCAAAACACATTCATATACATGCAAATAAAATCAATTAGATGTAGCTGTAATTTTGAACTGGCTTTAGCCTTGTCACATAGCCCCACTTTCTCCCCACAGGTGCATTGACAGATGATCTGAGGCTGTTATTGGCAGTCTTTCTCCTTCTCTGGAAGTTTTAATTAATTTTCCTGCTGTTAAAAATCATATAAAGTCAGCGGGAGCCTGAAGCTGCCTTTCTCAATATTCTGCGGTCTTGTAACGAGCAGTGCAGGGCCACACGGGGTCGGAGAAATCTTTGATTTCAGCCAGTGAGAGATGAATTGAACACTAGACTTGACCTCCTGTTGATTACAAACCATCCCAGAACTCTGCTGCCATACTTGTGCCGCTAAATTACAAAGAAATGCTACATATTTCTTGCAAACATACACTATATAGTGCATATTTTAGTAAATGTATGTAATCACAATATCTTTGTGGTATAGAAATTGTTGCACACAAATTGTAACTTAAGTATGAAAACCTAATCTGTTCTTTGGCCTGTCGTTCTTGTTTGAATTAATTACAACAGTGTAATTAGCTGTGTATATTTAACCGGGCTGAAACTGATACACTAGTATTTGAGTTCATGTGGAATGAAGGCAATGGTAAATGTACTCATGTGACAGTGAAAAATGGACACAGGTGATCTGGCATCGTATGTCGCCTATTCCCATTGTTGTAGAGCTGTTTAGTGAATTGTTAGACATGAGAGGCACAAGATAGACACAAGCTCACTATCAATAAATAAATAAAATGCTGTCATCACTTATTCACTCTGTTGTTCATCACATGCCTTGCTTTTTTCTGCACAACACAAACATTTGAATGGGAATGTTCGAGCTGCACTTTTGCATTTTTTTAATTACTGTATGACAATGTTGTCTGATTCCCTAATGAATCAATCTTGCCTAATGATCCAGCTCAACAAATAGTGTGATTGGTGTGGTTCGATTCCTAATCGAATGACTATGACTTACCTGTTGTTTTTTTTCTGCAAATCAAAAGCATGACCAGTGTAGTCCGACTCCCTTAAAACTGACCCTTGCAAACAAGCAGCTAATTCCTCCAAATAATAAATCGCAACCAGTGTAATCCAATTCCTGTAATACCTCCGATAAAACTTGATTCCTTTTAGTGAATCAAACCAAACAACCCAGTCAGTGTAATCAAACTACTTTCCAAATGAATGACTTTTATGAATCGGTTCTTTTTAGTGAATCAAAATCATGTGGTGCAATCTGTGTAGTCCGATTTCTGAATGAATGATTCTTATGAGCTGGTTCTTTTTTGTGAATCAAAAACATACAGTGTGATCTGTGTAGTTTAGGCACCGGTTCTTTTTAGTAAATCCAAAACATACAGGTGCATCTCAATAAATTAGAATGTCTTTGAAAAGTTCCTTTATTTCAGTAATTCAACTCAAATTGGGAAACTTGTGTATTAAATAAATTCAGTGCACACAGACTGAAGTAGTTTAAGTCTTTGGTTCTTTTAATTGTGATGATTTTGGCTCACATTTAACAAAAACCCACCAATTCACTATCTCAACTAATTAGAATACTTCATAAGACCAATAAAAAATAGTGAATTGTTGGCCTTCTGGAAAGTATGTTCATTTACTGTACATGTACTCAATACTTGGTAGGGGCTCCTTTTGCTTTAATTACTGTCTCAATTCAGCGTGGCATGGAGGTGATCAGTTTGTGGCTCTGCTTAGGTGGTACGGAAGCCCAGGTTTTTTTGACAGTGGCCTTCAGCTCATTTGCATTTTTTGGTCTCTTGTTTCTCATTTCCCTCTTGACAATACACCACATATTCTCTATGGGGTTCAGGTCTGGTGAGTTTGCTGGCCAGTCAAGCACACCAACACCATGGTCATTTAACCAACTTTTGGTGCTTTTGGCAGTGTGGGCAGGTGCCAAATCCTGCTGGAAAATGAAATCAGCATCTTCAAAAAGCTGGTCAGCAGAAGGAAGCATGAAGTGCTCCAAAATTTCTTGGTAAACGGGTGACCGTTTACTGGTTTTCAAAAAACACAATGGACCAACAACAGCAGATGACATTGCACCCCAAATAATCACAGACTGTGGAAACTTAACACTGGACTTCAAGCAAATTGGGCTATGAGCTTCTCCACCCTTCCTCCAGACTCTACGAAATTGGTTTCCAAATGAAATACAAAACTTGCTCTCATCTGAAAAGAGGACTTTGGACCACTGGGCAACAGTCCAGTTCTTCTTCTCCTTAGCCCAGGTAAGACGCCGCTGACGTTGTCTGTGGTTCAGGAGTGGCTTAACAAGAGGAATAAGACAACTGTAGCCAAATTCCTTGACACGTCTGTGTGTGGTGGCTCTTGATGCCTTGACCCCAGCCTCAGTCCATTCCTCGTGAAGTTCACTCAAATTCTTGAATCGATTCTGCTTGACAATCATCATAAGGCTGTGGTTCTCTCGGTTGGTTGTGCATCTTTTTCGTCCACACTTTTTCATTCCACTCAACTTTCTGTTAACATGCTTGGATACAGCACTCTGTGAACAGCCAGCTTCTTTGGCAATGAATGTTTGTGGCTTACCCTCCTTGTGAAGGGTGTCAATGATCGTCTTCTGGACAACTGTCAGATCAGCAGTCTTCCCCATGATTGTGTAGCCTAGTGAACCAAACTGAGAGACCATTTTGAAGGCTCAGGAAACCGTTGCAGGTGTTTTGAGTTGATTAGCTGAATGGCATGTCACCATATTCTAATTTGTTGAGATAGTGAATTGGTGGGTTTTTGTTAAATGTGAGCCAAAATCATCACAATTAAAAGAACCAAAGACTTAAACTACTTCAGTCTGTGTGCATTGAATTTATTTAATACACGAGTTTCACAATTTGAGTTGAATTACTGAAATAAATGAACTTTTCCACGACATTCTAATTTATTGAGATGCACCTGTACGTTGCAATCTATGAAGTCCAAATTCCGAAGCAATGTCTCTTAAGAGCCGATTCTTTTTAGTGAATCCAAAACATATGCTGCGATTGATTCAGTTAGATTCCAGAACTCTTTTTTTCAGTGGTGTACGGTAACGGAGTAGTTTTACTTCGTTACTGTACTTAAGTACATTTTTCAAGTATCTTTACTTTACTGGAGTAGTTTTATTTTGACTAACTTTTACTTTTACTTCACTACATTCCAAAGCATAAGATCGTACTTTTTACTTCACTACATTTCATAAAACATATCTTTACTCCTTATAATATATCACGTGCTCCGACACGCAGAAGCGGTGTCAATTAACCTTTTCAATCGTTTCGCAAATCGCACCAAACGATTCATTAACGAATTAGAATGATCCGATTGCAGCTGTTCTCGAGTCGACGACTCCCTGATTTAAATGAACCGTTTAGTGCAAGTCTCCAGTGAACTGAATTCATAAGTAAGAACCGGGAGATCTTGTAAGTGCGCGCGACTGATGCTGCT